CCATATTGGCCAAAGTCGATCTGAGGTTGGAGTCATCTCTCCAGTCCAGGAACTTTACTAGTAGTAGTCACTCCAGTCTTTGTTTATTTGGGGTGGGGGACAGGTTTGGCACAACCTTGGGATGACTTGTTGATCAGAGGGTCCAAGGAAAGTTTGATTCATCATGGGTCATGGCCACACCTAACATGAGTGTTCCCGGTCAAGGACAGGTACAGGTCATGACCTGCAGTCGAGCACTGAACTTAAGTAACCTCTATTACCATGGCTACAGGGAACTGCACAACCAGAACATAGTCCACTACCAATCCTGGCCCAGTTCCAACCATAGGGGTCATAAGGTGTCATTGGAAACTACCTGACCCTGTTTCTAGGGATCTACTGTAATAAATAGGCTTGTTAATGTGTAACAATAATCATTGTCGTCCATAATGAGATCATTATGGCACAAGGAAGCTCTATTCTGCCTCCTTATTGTGCTACTGTATTGAAGTTGGCAGGCAGACATCACAAACTCATTTTGCCTAATTACAATACAAAGACAGATCCTGTACAGTAGACTTAATTGTAGCAGCAGTCTCATGGCTCTCACCATAAATATGGAGCAAGGTCATGCTGTAGCTCTGGGGAACGTGAAACTTAAAAATAAGCAGCTTTGTTGCAAGGTGCTACCTCTAAAACTATAAAAATATGGTGCAGTGCTATCAACTCACTGCTTGATCGAGTCCTGAGTAGTTGGCAAATAAGACCATTGTTGCCATCTCAAATATCGCTGGTTTCTGTCATGTTTATTTTGTCCCTTGTTTTTACCTGTCATCCCAGCCCAGGATACCTGGACAACAGGTCATTGACCCCTGCCCTTACTCACAAGGTAGTTTTGGGGAAGTTCATCCCAGGCCCTGGGATGAACTTCCCCAAAACTACCTTGTGAGTAAGCAGCAAACTGCCCTGACCTTGAACCAAGGACACTCGTTTGGGCCAGAATGCACTAGTATTCTCCAAGAAACAAAGGTGTTGGTTACAGTGACTCTTGCCTACAGCATTACTTGCTATCTGGAGAAGGAAGCTTTTGTTTTGCAGGATCACAAATGACAACTCTGTAACTGTGTGTGTGCACGTGTGTGCGTGCGTGCATGTGTGTGTGCGAGCGTGTATATATAAGGCCAGTCCATTCTCAGCTCAGCCTCACTCTTCATTTGTCACTGAACCAACAGTGTATGTTTACATTTTTTCATCTCATGAAAATGTAACCTTTTGGTACTAACCTACACACAACAATTTCTCAACATTTTCTCCCAGAAACTGTAATATTCCTGAAATTAGCTCATCACTTAATGTAAGGACAAAACATTCTGGTGTTCAAAAAATGTTTCCTGAAAGTCAAGTTGCCCTGAGTGACTGTCCTGCACCAGTAGATTTGTTGCATTACCCCAGTGGCATGTTGACAATC